TTTATAAAGTATATATTCATTGTCTGCATGTGTATATGTGTGAATATGTATATGTGTTTCTCACAGAACACCCAGAACGGAGTTCCGGCACCTTTTTTGGATGGAACCTTGTAGGGTAGGCAAGTCGGGTTGTATGATGTATGTGAGTTCCGGCATCTTTTTTTTTTTTTTTTTTTAGAAAAAAAGCACTATGTGTGTGTATGTATGTCTGTACATATGTATATGTACACCTCATTTTGCAGAATTCAGACCTTGAACCTGGGCTTGTCAGCTTCCAGCTGACAAGCTTAGCATCTTTAACTGAGCCATCATGCCCCTATATATGGAGTATATGAGCGTGTGTGTGTATTATATACATGAACACACAGTATGCATGTGTTTGTGTATGCATAAATGCTCCTATATAAGCCTTCAGTGAAGTCTAGCCATATTTCATTACATGATCCATGCCTACTGAAAGTTAATAAATGATTCTTTCACCAGTTGCTATAACATCAATTTTGCAGGCCTTAACCCTAACTCTTACTTTGTTATTTCTGATCCATTAGTTCATTTATTAAATTTATCACATCTTTTCACCTCAGCAATCATAGCAATTAATAATAAAAACAGGTCAATAGTGGAGGATACGTTCACGCAGACAAAAGACAGGGTTTTCCTAGATATTTTCAAATTAAATTTGCCATAATTGAAATGGAGGGTACTAAACAATACTCTGAGAAACAATGGGTGATGACAGAGGAAACCGTCTCCTAGTTTCTTTTCAATATATTAGAAGGCAATGACAAGAACCCATCAACAATTCTGTTGACATGTGAATCTTACCATGTCCAACATTTTTAAAATCTTCATTTTCCTCCTAGATGAATAATATAACTGAAGTACATCTTTCCAGGAAATAGGTACTTATTTTTTTTTTTAAAAAAAACAGCCTAGTGAAAATAATTTCCATCACAAAAGCTGAATATAGATAGCATTTAAATGTCCATTACTAAAGGTGGTATAATGATTTTCTAAAAATGACTTCCTTCCTGTCTTGGGGAAGTCAGTTAGTGACAGTGAGATACAGATAGTCCTCAACTTACAACCATTAGTTTAGCTACCGTTCAAAGTTACAACCATATTGAAAAAAGTGATTTACAATCATTGTACCATCCTCATAGTGACCTGATCAAACTTCAGTTGATTGCCATTTGCGGCCTTCCCAGCTCACTAATTAAAAAAAAAAAAAAAGTCAATGAGAGCAGCCAGATTCACTTAACAACATCCTGGCTTGTTTAACAACTGCCTTGCTTAGCAATGGAAATTCTGATATATATGCTTTCCAGTCACATGCGACCTGAATATTGTGCTCTTTAATTCATTCTATCAGAAATATTTTTACAGCTTTTTTTTAGCTCAGTTCTTAAGGGGTGCTATATTGCTACCTTCCCCTCATTTCAGTTAGGCATTGAGATATAGCCACTTATCCCAAGTGCCAAAGAATGCCCATATGTGTGGTATTCACATTTTCTAAATGTAAGATGGCCATAACCTCTTCATACTTTATGAGCTTCTAGATTTTTTTCATAATTTACTGTCCTAGATTTGTTTAGCTATAATTCTCTTCTCTATAATGCTCTTCTCCAAGTATAGTATGGCAATAGCCCCCAATCTTTTGGGCACCAGGATCCAGTTCTGTGGAGGGAGGTTTTTCCAAGGGCTGTGTGTGTTTGTGTGGTTTTGTACACTGCCTGGATCTTGTGCATGCACCAATGGGGCTTCGCTTGCTTGCTTTGCTCAGTTCCTGGCAGGCAAAGGACCGTTGCTGGTCTGTGGCCCTGGGGTTGGGGACCTCTGTAACATAGGATGTGATAGCAATTTATATTCAGATCATAGCATCTGATCTGGACAGAATGTTCTTGATTATTATTTTCTGAAAAGTATGGCATGCAAAGGACTTAACATAAGCTTCCCCTACCTACTCACTGGTGGTTTACAAGAGCTTCACTATCAACATCCTTTCCTGTCTCACAGATACATTTTGGAAGCCCAAATGTGTCCCATTGGAAAGTACCTCAGTTATTTTTGTGTCCAACAATCCATTACTAAACATTGGAAGCATTTGATTGTGTCAACATATTGATATATTTTCACTTGCGCAGCCTTTTTTTTCACCCTAAAAGATCCGTACTGAAAATATGCATGCATACACGCTCGTGCGCGCATGCACACATGTACATACACAACCAGAACAGCAAAAGCCTGTTGTCATCCGCTACCTTTTTTGGTTTTTTGCTTGGATGACGATCTGAAGAAATAAAACCCATCTGCTCTTGAGAATTATTATTTTTCAAAAGAAAAGAAAAGAAGTAACATTTAGATCAATCCTATACCCAGTGATTACTTCCATTTGGGAAGATATCAAGGCAATAGTGTTGACATATAGACTTGCAATGAAAAATTGGCTGTCACACAGAATACTAAAGAACAAAGAAAAGAGAAGAAATAAAGAAAAGAAAGCAGAGCTTTATTAAATGCAACATTCAGACACAGGCTTTTGATAAGGATCAGTTTGCAGATCAAATAGAAATCAACCTGTGTTTGCTAAAAACTGTGCAGTCAACAAAACCGGGGGCTCCATAACTGATTTGACATTTCCTGTCTTTTACGAGTCATTACATTTTTATCTGTCCTTTACAAAATGTTGCTTGTTTTGAAATGGAATAGCCTATATATATATATGCATGAAGCCGAAAGCACCAGCCTGAAGATGACGAATGGGACTTCGTCGAAATGTCGCCAAGACACTTCCAATTTTACGTGGGAGAAAACCCGAACAACCAAAGACCTACATACAAACACCCGCGAAAACCTCAGAAAACATATATAGACACACATATATATGTCCTTAATGGTTGTAAAAATATGAATCCCGGGCATATTTGTTCAATGATGCAATCTTCGATCTCCGGGAAGAGTATACCCTACAGATGCCCCCCTTCATAGCTGCCTATAATCCATTTGCTCAGCTAGTAGCAAGACTGCTCAGCAGTTTCCTATCAATGTACACAAGATCCCCAATTTAGTTCTTCTGTTCCATTTTGTCTAGATTTCTGAAGGTTGGGAAATAAAAGGCAGCATTTGAACTTTCATCTATATGCACGTAAGGATCTAACATCAAATCAGGAGAAAAAGGGGCAAAGTTATCTGCTTATAAGAAGTCTTCCAGGATCAATTTAGGCCTGGTTGTTCCTTACAAAGCCCTATATAGTCTAGCATCAGGGTAAATCAAGTAATCTCTAGCCAAAATTAAATTCATCTGTCTAGTCTCATTCGTCTTCAGAAGACCTGCTGAGAATTATCTCCCGATCCAAGAAGTGTATGAGGTATGGGCTAGATCAGTGGTTCTCAACCTTTTTAATGCCGCGACCCCCGACCGGTCGTAAGTCGAGGACTACTCAACTGGTCGTAAGTCGAGGACTACTCAATGGGTGCAGCACGGTTTGCAGAATGGGACTTTTGGCGGGCTCAGCAGGGCAGAGACAGCCTGGACAATTCCTATTGGCTTTTGAAAGCCAATAGAATTAGACTCTATTCAAGAGAGTCTATTCTATTTGCTTTCAAAAGCCAATAGAATAAAAGGGAGTAGCACAGCTAAGGAAAAGGGGGAAAAAATGGCGGGCTGCGTTGTTTGGCGACCCCCATGAAATGGTCGTTCGACCCCAAATGGGGTCCCGACCCACAGATTGAGAACCACTGGGCTAGATGGTAGACTACTGTTGTGGGCCTAAAGTACCTTTAGCTCTAATTAATTGTTGGATGGACACTCATCCTGTGAATGGGAGAAAGAAGGAGGTAGATTAAGCTTCCTCTTGCTGCTATGTATTCAAGATGAACAGTGATTAATATGTATATGTATTTATATGTAAGGGTGTAGGTATATATACATGTATGTATCTAGAATGCTGTATGTTACACCCTGTTACCCAAATATGGGAGAGAGAAATCTTTTGGGCAACAGGGTGTAACATACAGCATTCTAGATAACTCCTCCCCTGTTTCTTCCCTCCCTAACACAGCTGGCAAAAGTGAGACAGAGCCTATGGCCTAGAGGTTATTACAGCTGCCTAACATGCAGAGAGCCCAGGTTCGAATCTCAGAAGGGTATGTCTGGTTGAAAAGAGCTAAAGAGTTTGAAATAGCTATTCCAGTTCTCCCTTAATTCTTTGCTAGCAATCCAAATTTTAGACATGTATGTATATAGCATGTCTATATACTGTATGTGTTATGTGTACACTTTTGACAGCAGGCAATGGAAATTCATTTTTAATGTGTGCCAGTGTGGCCACAGTACATGACAATAAAAGTTGTCTTTGTCGTCTTGTCTTGTCTTGTCCTGTCCTGTCCTGTCTGTATGCTTTGTATATTTGCTGTACAGGTAGTCCTCGATTTACAACCACAATTGGAAAAAGAATTTCCATTGTTAAGAAAGCTGGTGATTAAGAGTGTCACTCATGATTTTACAATCTGTTTTGTCATGGTTGTTAAGTGAACCACTGCAGTTGTTAAATGAATCTTGCCATCGTTAAGAGAATCTAGCTTTCTCCAATGATTTTGCTTGTTGGGAAGGTCACCAATGATAAACATATTGTATTGGCTGTCATAAATACATGTGGTTGCCAAGTGCCCAAATTTTGAACATGTGACCATGGGAACAGTTGTAAGTATGAGGACTGGTCGTAAGTCACTTTTTTCAATGCCGTTGTAACTTCAAACAATAGTAAATGAATGGTTGTAAGTTGTGGACTACCTGTACACAGTGCAGGATCTTTAAAATGGCATGGGTTAAATAGATAAATGAATAGCAACTTAATTTCTAGATCACACATGCAGATTATATAGAATACAGTGGCTGATGGCTCTAAATCATTTCTCCATTAAGTTCAGCTCACCTAGCTTAATTAAGACTTTGCATTCATGATCCAATTATAAGCTCAGTGTCAACTAGTGAATCTTACCATACAAAGCTTTTGCACTTGTCTTTGAACTCTGATCCTTGTCCCTTGAAGAAAAGGTTGGTGATCCATATCCACTGCAAGGCAAGAAACAGGTTGCTTAAGTGCACATTTTTCCAGAAAAGTCAATCAATATACAATCAAGCTTAAATTGAAAGACTAACTGCACGGAGTACAGAATTCAGGAATATAAGGATTTTGGCTTTCCCGTTTCTGGTTCATGTGGATCAGCTTAGTAAGTGTGAAGGAATCTACACAAAGTGGTTGGTGAGCAGAAATTCCAAAAACTAGGAATTATATGTTGCCATTCAGCTAGTTTTAAAAAATATGCAAATGAGTGGGTTTGCAGACTTAATCACCAGACAATTTAAGGATCAACCCACCTTTAGAGAGATAGATGCATAATGTGCCCTAAAACTTATTTTGGATCTGGAACTGGAAAGAAACCTAAATAAGGACAATGAGCTATAATTCCTCTGATATAATCTGAAACAAACTATATTTTCTAAATGGTTCAAAGTCAACTAGAAGTCAGAGTTGGGGAGCAGTCAAAAATGCTGAATGAAGTGAGAAGTAATTCTAGAGGTCATCAGAATCTAAAAACCTACTTCAAATATCTCAGTAACATTAGATTGCCTAACAACTGTTCTATTTTTTCTTTTCAAAGTCAGGCACCTACACTACTACTTCACACACTCTGTTTGGAAGCCTTCTTGTTTCAAAACAAGTTGTCAAAGTAATGGCTGCTCTTGAGAAGTCTGTGCCCCTTTGGACTTCTCAAAGAAGGTGACCATCTTCTTCAATCTGGCATGTCTAGATTGAGAACTATGGATGTTGAGGACCAGCAGATAGAAAATACTAAGACAGCCACCTTATATACTAAATGATATTTAGAATTTACATGGCTAGTTTTAGAACTAAGTGGGCCTATCTGTCTTTAGTTCTGTCTTTGAAAAATATGTATCAAATAATTGGAGGATTTCAGATGCTCTTTATACAACATTTTTCATAGAACATGGAATCACAGGGGTCTCAGAGGTCTTCTAGTCCAACCTCATGCTTAAAGAGACCTTATACCATCCCGATCAAGTGGTTGTCCAGTCTATTTTTGAAAAACTCCAGTAATGGAGCACCCACAACTCTGGGAGACAAGCCATTCCACTGATTAATTGTTCTCACTGTCAGAAAACTTTGCTTTCCTTCTACGTTGGAGCTCTCTTTAACAAGCTTCCACCCATTGCATCTTCTCTGGCCCTCTGATGCTTTGGAGAATAAGTCAACCCCCTCTTCTCTGTGATAGCCCCTCAAGTACTAGAAGACAATTGTCATGTTCCCTCCTAATCTTTCTTTTTGATAGATTAGACATACCTAGCTCATTCATCATATGATTTAGCCTCCAGACATAAACTTGAGAAATTCACATCCATATGTCACGAACAATAGCTTTGCAGATTCTGAAACTATTAATAGAATCTCTTCCCCAACACTCATGATAATAGAGACCATACTTTGGCATTTTCCACATAAATTTACAAATAACTGTTGCTGGTTATTTAAGCGAAGATCAAATAAGTTTTGTTTGAGTACGCTTCTAAGCAGCTTGGAAATGTGTTTAACATTAGACAATCTGAAGTTCTTCTTTTAAACCCAATTAATATATACAGATAAACCATAATTGCTAAGCCAGCATTCTAAAGTTTAGCATGAGCCACCCACATATGTCCATCTGTTCTTGTTTTCTGTGTATAAGGAAAGCTTCTCACAATTATGGCTGTTGTTCAAAGAAGAAGAAAAAAAAACAAAAGCCCATGCAGCTTGTTCTGCTAAATGCATAGAAACAATACATGTAATAATCATATACCTGAAAGAAAAAGAATCTCAGCTTTCTGTTTATTTTTTATTTGTAAACAACTTTTCCTCTGCTTCATGAAATACACAAATAAATTACATATGGCTTTGGCTTCAACAAACATCACCGGTTTCATTTATAAATCTGTTCAGATGCCAAAAATCAGCATTAGATCTCCCCTGTTTAATGAAAAGGAAAAAAAATAATCTTCTGGCAGTTTTCTAAAAAGTAGGAAGTTGCCATCAGCAACTGATAGCACGTTATCAATTGCTATCCATCCAAGTGTACAGAAACTAGTAAGGGAGTTGTTTCTTTTTATCTATCAATCAGAATAGAGCTAGAAGAGATCTTGGGAGGTCTTCTAGTCCAACCCTCTACTCAAGCAGGTGGCTGTCCAGTCTTTTCTTAAAAACCTCCAGTGACCAAGGCAAGCTGTTCCACTGGTTAATTGTTCTCATTGTTAGGGAGCTTCTCCTTAATTCCAGGTTGCTTTTCTCCTTGATTAGTTTCCATCCATTGTTTTCCCCCCCCCTTCTGGTGCTTTGGAAAATACATCGACCCCCTCTTTTATTTTATTTTATTTTATTTTTTATTTATTTTTTATTTTACTTTTTTTATTTTCTCTTACTCTGGAGATAGCATTGCCCAAATCCTGGCATGAACTGTTGTTTCTCTTCCAGCTTTGAACTCAGCTGCTAGAATTCAAAGCCGCAACCGCAAATGATGATCACCCCCAATCTTATCTGATCCCTTTTTATTCTTGAAAACCACAGAGGATTTAAGCACCTGGGTCAGTCCTCCAGTTGTAACTTGATAGACTGAGCTGAACTTCAGTTCCTTATCATATCTGCCTCTTTGCTGTGTGTAAGATGGTTCTTTGACTTTCATTACTACAACGAGATCAGATGACAATACATACGATGAAATCTATAACAGGGGCATGAAAAAATAGTGGGTCTCTAGACTTACCAATTGGTAAGTATACTTACAACCTGGTAAGTATCTGGTATCAGATGTGTTGTGGCTACAAAAATCAGTACAAACATTCTGGAAATGTTGGTCCTAACATAGCTAGAGGCCACTAATTGGTAAGGCTGGGTTAAAGGAACAGTGTACATGTGGATCTGCATAATATGATATTTGCATACACAGTTTGTGGAATAAGGAAGAAAATGTTTGATTAAATATCTGGGATTTACATATTTTTGCTACTTGCTTGTGACCATGACATATCATTAAATTGCACTAACATGGTTTTATCTGATGTTATAAGATACGTTTGAGATCCTCAGTTGACTGAAAAGGTAGAATATAAAACGGTTTAAATGAATATAATATTAGGTACAATAATGAGAAATTAATCTCGGGAAATAGTGGATAAAAGGACCGGAAATATGTACTTTTTTTTTTTTTTAGAAAAGAAAAAAATGTATGAAGAACAACTGGAGAACTATATATGTTTAGCCTGGAGGGGGAAAAATACTGTGAGGCAACACGATACTATCTTTAAATATTTAATTTGAAATTTAAAAATTAAATTTAAATTTTCAAATTTTTAAAATTTGAAATGCTATTCTATAGAAGGTGGGTATTATTGTTCAGAACTGTAATAGAAGATAGAAGAAAATGTGTTTTATTTAAAGAAAGTAGTTTCCAGCTAAAAACCAGAAAGTAAATAGTGATAGTTGTTCAATGATGGACAGACTTTCTTGGGAGATGGTGGACTCTACTTTTCACTGTTAGAGTTTAATCATGGCCATCTGTCAGGAATACTACAGCAATGGATTCCAGCACTGAGCAAGCCAGTTGGGGGACTCTGGGAGTTGAAGTCCACACACCTTAGAGTTCCCAAGATGGGAAAACACTGAATTAGATGTTCTTCAAAGTCATTTCCATACATTACGTTGTAAATTGAGTTCCATGGAGATATTATCAAAGAAAGCTCATAAGAGATGGAATCATATGCCACAACATACATATTCACAACTTTTGCAAACTGGTCCAAACTTGCTCAGGAGCAACATCGCGTCAACCTTAGCTAATCATAAAAAGCGGAGTGACAACTGGTTAGACCAGGGGTAGGCAACCTTGGCTCTTTTATGACTCGTGGATTTCAACTCCCAGAATTCCTGAGTCAGCATGGCTGGTTCAGGAATTCTAGATATTGAAGTCCACAAGTCATAAAAGAGGCAAGGTTGCCTACCCCTGGGTTAGACATAAGAGAATGATCTCAAGCACATTCCCAGGCCATCTTACCACAGGGTAAATTCTGGGTGGCTTATAATCATAAAAGATATACATTATTGTATGCGATCCAATTACAGATGGGGAGGGTGGAGGGGCCGGTGGGGGGAAGAGGTGGGATATGTTGTTAATCGATCAATCATCTCCACTATAATGCTCCTCCATTGGGCCCGCAAGCTAGCTGGCAGAGCCAGGTCTTTAAGCCCTTATATGGAAGGTCACGTGGCTTAGGGCCAAGCTCATACTGGGGGGCAAAACGTTCCATATGGCAGGAGCAACCGCAGAGAAGGCCCTTCTTCTGGACTCTGCTAGCCAGAATAATCATGCCTCCTCTGCCAGCATGGGTGGCACAGCCAATCCCAGATTGAAAGTGGTCAACAGCAATCCATTTCTGTAATATTGCTAAGAAAACTACATGGATGTGATTGTGAAGTCACAAAGGATCAGCCTTGACTGAAGAGAGAATTTACTTACTTCACTTCAAATATCAACTATTTGTAGGACGTATCTTTTTTTTAAAAAAATTAAAGGACAAAGAAAGTACACAGTATTTTCCCCCCCACCATTTTATTTTTGATAAATTTAGGACAGAAGGTATACAATACTTACTTTACTTGAGAAGGATAATTTCCGTATACATTGGGATGGGTGTTTGAAATATGCCCATTCATTATGATCACCACTACTTCTGTGGGAATAAAAACAGGGAAAGGATGGGAAAAAGAGAGAATCATTTAAGACATTCCGTACAATAATTCCAACAAACACTTATGAAAGCCTACAGAATTAGCCAATTATGACTGTGGGAAAACAGAGACCTTTTCAAAATAATGGTTTGCGAGTAATTTTCCACAGTATGTACACACACAGGCATGCCTGTACACACACACACACACACACACACAGAGAGAGAGAGAGAGAGAGAGAGAGAGAGAGAGAGAGAGCGCCAGATAGCATTCATTTGCTATCTCAAGGAATAACAGTTCCCCCAGCCAAGTGTGTTTGTCAGAGTGGGAAGCAATTGTGAGATCAGATCCTGCTGAATTCTTCTTTATTTTACCTCCAAAATCAACATGATTACCAACTAATATTTATCATTCCTACTATATTCACACTTTTATAATCAGACAACATAGCTGAGTTTACAAATGTCCCTCCCAGGTACAGGTAGTCCTGACTTATGACCACAATTGAGCCCAAAATTTCTGTTGCTAAGTGAGACAATAGAATAGAATAGAATAGAATAGAATAGAATAGAATAGAATAGAATAGAATTATGGGGTAGAGTAGAGTAGAGTAGAATAGAATAGAATAGAATAGAATAGAATAGAATAGAATAGAATAGAATAGAATAGAGCTGGAAGGGACATTGGAGGTCTTCTAGTCCAGCCCCCTGTTCGAACAGGAGATCCTATGCCATTTCAGAAAGTGACTGTCCAGTCTCTTCTTAAAAACCCCCAGTGATGGAGCACCCACTGTCATGGTTCCAATAGAGGAAACCCTTCAAAAGAACTTCAAGGCATTGTTTTCCTTAAAGAGTGTTTTATTCGGGAAGCAAAGTATCGGCACTATATAGTTGAACCCAGAAACTAAATTCCCTTCCCCCTGATACAAAGTAACAAAGTGCAATTCCCACCTCCAATAAACTGCCATAAATCACATTCCAATTAGCTTAAAGCCTGGCCTTTCTCCTTAGCTCCACAGCCCGCCAAAATGTTATCAGCTTGTCCTTGGGTTCCCACCACAGCGTTATGTAATGCTAGCTGAGCTTATATTCCAACCCCCCCTTGCTGCACCTGATCTCTAAAACAAGAAAAGCATTGTAAAGGTACAGAGAAAATGGCTGCATTTTCATCGGCTGTCGAAGCGGGAACATCCAATGTTAGCAGTGTTGACACCCACAACTTCTGAAGGCAAAGCTGTTCCACTGGTTAATTGACCTCACTATCGGGAAGTTTCTCCTTAATTCCAGGTTGCTTCTCTCTTTGGTCAGTTTCCAACCATTGTTTCTTGTCCTGCCCTCTGGGAAAGACCTTTCTTGCCACAACTGTTAAATGAATCTCTGCAATTGTTAAGTTAGTCGTACAGTTGTTAGGTGAATTTGGCTTCCCCAGTGAGTTTGTCAAAAGGTTGCAAAAGGTGATCACATGACCCCGGGACACCGCAACAATAATAAACATGAGTCAGTTCCCAAGTGTCCAAATTTTGATCACGTGACCATGGGGATGCTGCAATAGCCGTTAAGTGTGAAAAACAGCCATAAGTTACTTTTATCAGTGCCGCTGTAAACTTTGAACAGTCACTAAACGAATTGTTGTAAGTCGAGGACTACCTGTACTTAAGAAGCATCTCTCCAGAAGATCTTCAAGTTCATCAAGTTGATGGATTGAAATTCATTCTCTTAATTAACTACTAAGTGTCTTCATGCAGCTGATCAATCAGGTACTACATGACCATTTATACAAAGGGGTTTTGGTGTATCTTGATGACATCCCGCTGTTCTTTTATATACAAGGGCTTAGCCATCACATTGCTACACTTGTTTATATTATGATTCAAATAATAGAATGCTCAGAGTCACTGGGAGTTGGGCAGCAAATAAATTTAATAAATAAATAATAAGATCCCCCTTATGTGCTAACAAAGATGAAAAATTGCCACCGTTTAAAAATGAGCAAAACCAACTGTCACGTAGATTTTTATTTTCTGTGAGTCAATAAGGGGAATCAGGGGAGATATAACAGGATCCTCTCAGGAATAACTATGTCTTTAAAAAGGCTTGTTAGTGTGTGTCACCCATAGGAACTGTTAAAAATTTATGAATATTGATCTACCAGTCCTGTTAGCTTAATATTGTCTGCTTAGCACAGACCCTTGAGGAATTCAACAAAACAGCCTTTACGTTTTTCTTACTACTCAGTGACTTTTCAATGTCATGGCTCTTCAAATGTGAATAACTGTACAGTATATAAACCAAAACAGGATGAATTTGCACAGCATGTTTAAAAACAAAAAAAACATGTTAGCTTAATATATCACACGAAGGAGGTATTATCATTTTTGCTAGATGTACCAGTCTGGGGTTTGAAATCTGCTAGTATTCTAATGGTCAAATGGTTTAATACCATCTATGTTCCTTTTAATTATTATTTTAAATATTATTTTTAAATGTTTTTTAAACAATTAGCTTTCCCGAATGTTTGCAGAAGAGCAAAATGGTAGAAATCAAAATAATAAATACATTTACAGACAAAGCTTTGCTGTTCCATGAAATCTCAGTCCTGGCTGACATGACTCTTAAATCCATCAAAGTCCATGTTTTTCAAAATAATGAGGATGCCCAGAAATTGCTAAGTCATGTGCTCCCTTTATTTATTTTTATTTGACAATACATGCTAAACTTTAAGAGGATTTTTTTTTGCTACATTATGCTCCCAGCTATGTCCAAAAGCATACTCTTTAAAAATATTGGATATGTAAACTGTTAATACAGTTGCTAAAAATGATGCCAATCAAAATTTGTCAACTGAAAATATTACCAATGAACCCATACAGGTAGTTCTCGACTACAACCACAGCTGAGTCCCAAACTTCTGTTTGCTGAGTGAGTTTGCCCCCATTTTACCATCTTTCTTGTCACGGTTGCTAAGTGAATCCCTGCAGTTGTTAAGTTAGTGATACTGTTGTTAAGTGAACCTGGCTTCCCCATTTGACTTTGCTTGTCAGAAGGTCACAAAAGGAGACCCCATGACCTCAGGCTACTGCAACTGTCATAAATATGAGTCAGTTGCCAAGAGTCTGAATTTTGATCATGGGGATGCTGCAACGGTCGTAAATGTGATAAATGGTCAAAAGTCACTTTTTTCAGTGCCGTTGTAAGTTTGAATAGTCACTAAATGAACTGTTGTAAGTCGAGGACTACCTATACTTTACTGGAGACTCTGTTAGGCCAATCAACAGCCAGCGATGGTCTTTGATTAAAGGTTGTCATTAAAACGAAATAAACCCTCCTTGCTGATCCTATTATTTAACATGGAATTATTTGTTTTATTTTGGGCAACGGTGCATATAATCTTTGGAATGAATTGTCCTAGTGGAAAATCACTTAAATATGAGCCAGCAGTGTGCTGCTGCAACTGCCAAAAAGGCCAACACAGTGCTAGGCTGCATTAACAGAGGGATAGAATCAAGATCACGTGAAGTGTTAATACCACTTTACAATGCCTTGGTAAGGCCACACGTGGAATAGCCACACTTCGAATACTGCATCCAGTTTTGGTCACCAAGATGTAAAAAAGATGTTGAGACTCTAGAAAGAGTGCAGAGAAGAGCAACAAAGATGATTAGGGGACTGGAGGCTAAAACATATAAGGAATGGTTGCTGGAATTGGGTATGTCTAGTTTAATGAAGAGAAGGACAAGGGGGGGACATGATAGCAGTGTTCCAATATCTCAGGAGCTGCACAAGAAGAGGGATCAAGCTATTTTCCAAGGCGCCTGAAGGCAGCGACAAAAAGCAAGGGTGGAAACTAAGCAAGGAGAGAAGCAACCTAGAACTAAGGAGAAACTTCCTGACAGTTAGAACAATTAACAGTGGAATAACCTGCCTCCAGAAGCGGTGAATGCTCCAACACTGAGGTTTTTAAGAAGAGGACTGGACAAGCCATTTGTCCGAAATGGTATAGAGTTTTCCTGCCTGAGCAGGGTTGGGACTAGATGACCTCCAAGGTCCATTCCAACTTATTTATTATTATTATTATTATTGATCATCGCACAGTCAGCAGATGTTCAGACTGGATTTGGCATTTTGTCTACCTATCGAGTCCTTACCCAGGACCTGGGATAGGCAGATGTGGATGTTTGTTGGTATTACAGATATCGTCGCAGGATGAAGCAGTTCCTAATAAGGCCGCCTTTTGCAATTGACTAATAGCGAATAGTAAGTGTGGCACATTTGTCCAAGCCAAACTCCATTACAACATCTTGGCTATATATACGGACAGTGTTGAGCAGCGATTCTATTTCAGATGATGTTTTTCCATACAGCTTCAGATCATCCATGTAAAGGAGGTGGGATAGTCTGGCAGATGTTTTTGATGTTTGATAGCCATGTCCTGAGTTATTCAGTATTGTTGACAGAGGAAACAGTGCAATAACAAATAGTAATGGTGATAATGAATCTCCTTGAAATATTCCTCTCTTGATATTAACCTCTCCCAGCTCTCACCATTGATCTGCAACTGTGTCTTCCATTGTGCCATCGATCTTTGCACAAATTTTCTGATGTTTCTACTGACTCCTGTTATTTCTAGGCACTTATTATCCAATCATGTGGCAGAGAGTCAAATGCCTTTTTGTAGTCAATCCATGCCACATTCAGGTTGGTCTTCCTTCTCTTGCAGTTTTCCAAGATCATTTTGTCTATTAGGAGTTGATCTTTTGTTCCTCTGCTATTGGGGCGGTTTCCTTTCTGCTCAGGTGGAAAGAGATTGTTTTCAACTAGATGCTGTTGTACTGCATCAGCTACCACACCAGTTAGTAATTTGAAAGTTGTTGGTAAGCAGGTAATTGGCCTGTAGTTACCTGGTGTTGCCCCTTTTGCTGGATTTTTCATTATTAGGTAGGTTTTCCCAGTTGTTAGCCACTTTTCAATTTCTCCTCCTTGTAGTATATTGTTGAACTGCTTGG